GGGGGGGGGGGGGGGGGGGGGGTAACACGGGGACTTGATAAAACACTCCTACGCGTGTTTTAAATAGCACATAAAGACTACTCTATTAAAAACTCTGGAAATCTATAACTTCACACTAGAAACAGTAATATGGTTCGAACCATATTTCTCCAACCGAACTCAAAAAGTAAAATTTAAAACATCCTTTAAAATAAAGTATGGCGTACCCAGGGCTCAATTCTCGGACCACTGCTTTTCATTATTTCTACCATATAATATAATATGTACAATCTCATGTTCTTTGTTATGATACAAATTTATGGTAACAGTTTTTTACAATTATTAAATAAAACAAAATGTGCATAATCTGAAATCAGTTAGAGTATCAAGACATCATCTTCGCCAGTTTGTACGGAAGACGGAGCAGCAGATTGGGAACTAGCTTTCTTTAAACATTCTCGCTTGCAATCCAACAATGTGGCCAGATCCTAGTATAAAAAGATTCTTTACAGTAGCTGCATGCATTGCCATTCAACAATAAACGTTAATTGCGTAATGTAAAATATTTAGACTCTTGAACAGAATTATTTGACGTTATTTATAATAGCATGCATATGTTGCCAAGGAGTTGAAGCTCTATACAGGCTTTGTCTAAAGCTTTCTAGAAAGGGGTCTGGGGCCGGTTGTATCAAGCCCGTTTAGCTTTCTCGTACCCAGAGCCCTTTTTACGCGCGGTGCGACGAGGGGCTCTGGTCAAATCCATAACCGGATACCATAAAAACATGGTTAATAGAACAATAACCTTCGATGTGGCCAATAAGATGCCAGTTTGATATGGATTTGGCCAGAGCCCCTCGTCGCGCTCCGTTGACCGCGCGTAAGATGGGCTCTGGGTACGAGAATGGCCCGTTTAGCTTAAACGGTGGTTAAGCTCAAAATAGAAAGCGAGTTTATAGGTTCATTCAACAACCAAACTAAAAGTTTTGAACCTCAATAGAACGATATTGTTTACAAGTACATATTCAGTGCACAATATTTAAGTTAACTGATTCACGAGAGATATAAGAGAGTTATTTAATTTTGACTTATCCACCGTTTAAGCTAAACGGAATTGATACAACCGGCCCCAGTTGTGTACGAAGGCCGAATATTCTAGAAAGGGGACAGTTGTGTACGAAGGCAGAATATTCTAGAAAGGGGACAGTTGTGTACGAAGGCCGAATAGCGCTATCCACTGGGCAGTGCATATTTTTTCAATCTTTATAAAATTGCTTGAAAAGTTATAAAATTACGGATATGCATGAACCTCACAATTAATAAAACAAAATTTTAACTAATATAAGTACTAAAGTTTAATCCGGGTTATACCAATCAACGAACCATTTTAGAACGGTGGAAAAAATCTGGTAGATAGCGTTATGCGGCTTTCGTATTATCATGGATAATAAAATAAATGGATAGGAAACTAGCTGACGTGACCTAATGTTTTCAATGGGCTGATGGCGTGATTGGATGTTGAAACCAAGTTGCAAACCAAATTCTCAAAAACGGCATGTTTAGCAATAATACAGCTAAACATTTTAGTCAAAGAGCAAATGAATATAACTACGCCATTCTACGATGAAATCTCTAAGTATTCCCAGTCAATTTTAGCAAATATATCAAGCACTGAACAGTGAAAAAGGCATCCCAAATTTCGTTAAAATTGGGGACGCCAATTTCGTAGCTACAAATGTAAAAAAATACAAAACAAAGACGAAAAACATTTACCTTGAATACTTTGTCGTGGCTTAGGCATGTTTTTAAAACAATTAGACCAGTATATGCTTCAATATTACTCTTTTAAAG